CTGCATCATCTACAATGTGTTTATATTTGTAGAAACAAGTATGCATTTAATTGTCTATTGCATGCTTACCTGCATGTGTGCACAGGTGGGATGAAGTGCTATGAAGGGCAGCCTTCTGTGTGTGGTGGAGCGAGGAAATGACTCTGCAGAGTTTCGACTGGGATGGGAGGTGAGAGCAAAGGGAGTCCACCAGGTATGCAGGCCACTGGCGGCTGAAAGTGAGACAGAAACAGAAACGGCACACATTCTTGTTGCCAAGGCAACTTTCATGCTAAACTTTGGAGGAGGGAGACGAAAAGGCCCTGATTCCTCTCTCTGATTTTCCAAGAAAACCTTCTTTTTTCAGATGTAACCACTAATGTGAATACCTTACAGTATGTCCTAAAACCTACCGCTCTGATTATGAATCAATGGATATGAAGTGAAGGTTGCTTAAACGTTTGGTCTAGCTCTCCAGGTATTTCTTGCACACATGTACTGCATATTGTAAACATGTACTGTATATTGTAAACATGTACTGTATATTGTAAACATGTGATTGTGTTTAAGGATGTATTGCATCTTGAGAATGTACCTATTGTTAAGGTTTGTATTGCTGGGAATTTGCAGTTTGATGTATTGAATTTCTTATGTTTTATATCATGTTTTGATGATTAATCTCAGGATGTACACCACCACTAATTCACTCAATTACAATTTCAAACTGGCTACCCCTTTCTAGTAAAGCAACCTTTATAAACAGGTTATAAGTTTTAATATGTCAGTTATAAGCCAATGGAATAACTTACACGTTTGCATGCCCTTTGATTTGTGTTTAACATCTTCAACCATGACACATGCTTTGTCTTCATAGCTTTATAGTTAATCAGGAATCCTCCTCCAATGGACTGTTCTAGAAAAGAGTTGCATCGTAAGCTGTATGGACAAAAATGTATATACAAATAACTTGTGGTAGAAGAAGTATTCAGATGCTAACAGTACATCAGTGTATAAATCCTGCATTTCAAGTAAAATCCTGCAATACACATTTAACGTAAGTGAAAGTCCAATATTATCAGCAAATGAAAGTGCTAATTGTGCAGAAGAATATTATATTGTAATACTGATGCATTAACGTGAAAGTAGTATATCAGTAGCACATAGGCACTTTTAGGCACACTAAAAGTACACTATTTCCCTCAGACATGTAGGCCTGGTGGAGTAAAGGTATTAAGTACAAGCACCTCATAACAATACATGAGCACTGTAGGCCTACTTGTTGTAATGTGCAGACTTAATGGATTATTGTAATGACCATTTCTAGGCTACTTAATAGCAAATGACTGTAGATATGACAGTGAGAAACTCAGGACTGTTTATTACTGTAATTACTTTTATACCTTCAAGTTAGTAAAAGGTAAAAGAGCAAGTAAAAAGGTATTTTTCTCAAACTGGCTAACCAGAATTTACAGCTTAGCTGATCTATTGAGCGTTTGTAAATTATTTTTAAGTTAATTTATTAGACAGTGGTGTAGCACCTGTTTTCCCCCTCTCTTTGATAAAAAAACTTCCTGTGGCGCACCAGTTTCAGCATGGGTCTCACCAATTTCAGCATGGGTCTCATTTCAAACCATGTTGCCTGACTGCTGCTAAGTAGGACTGCAACCTGGTTTTAACATGGCATAATGGCAGAATAAACACCTCAATATCCTGTTCCACTCATTTGAATGACAATGTACTCCATTTAGCCTAAATTACTGGGCGTCCTAAACTTGCAACATAATTTGGCTCCGTGTCTTGGGTTGGGTTCTGCTGTCACAAAAGGTTATTTTTTTTAAATATGTCACTGAAGAGGCGCAAGTTCCCATGGGGTTATGTTGCCACGCAACCACAAGCCCCACCTACAGAGGATGTACCTGAGCGGGGCTCACGTGACTGAGAGTTTATCCAATCAGGAGCGAGGACAGGTGCTTCGAGATGAGAGTTTCGGAGGCGGAAACCTGCTGGTTTAGTAGACGAAAGCCGCTCCTTATAAATGTGTCAATTCAGTTGTGCTTTTCTCAATAATTGTTGACGGAGAATACAGTTATTTGACGAGAGCAACAGAAGACAAATCAATTTTTTTCGGAGGTGGGAGATGTGAGAAGACAGGACACCTGGCTCGTGCGTAAAATGGATAGTGCTGCGACCCTTTGAAGGACAGCTGCTGTCACAGTTGTGCTCCACCGCTGAAGAAGACAGTTGCCTGGATTTCTATCTCAGCAAAGTCAAAAGTGTTTACACTTTGCTTTGGGTCATTTAAAGTGTCCACCTCACCTGTTGTAGCTCAGGTAAGTGTTCATGAGAGGGTTTTTTTTTTGCGCATTGTTCCCTTTTGAATCATGGCATGAGTTTGCTCTTCTGTTCTCACGACTCATTAAACCAGTTTTACAGAGAAGGTAAAAATGGTTACACTGGTTATTCATAGGATTAGTTGGTAGTTATTCTGAGTGAGGTGAATTCCAATTTAGAGAGGGAAAATCATGATACACAAAAAATGCATTTGAGCATGCGGGTGAGGATGAAGATGATGACGATTTTAATTAAGAGTAATGTTTTATAAAACTGAAAGCATGACAGCATTACAGACAGTTTTTAAAAGAGCATTTTGATGTTTCACTAGAAATAAGTGAGTTGGAAAATTCAGAAACCAGTTCAGAGCATTCAGACAGGTGATAAAATTACCTCATATGGAATTACATCATTTGAAAAAATACTGAATACAATGGAGCACATCTCAACTACAACTGAATTAATGAATATGGCATCTGTTTCCTCTTCCAGTACCCTCCCTCCACTCAAACATGACAGAGAGGAGCCCATGGTGGAAGACATTCCTGCCAAAGTGGAAGAGTGGAAGCCCCAAGGACACCGCTTCACCCCACACCTTTGGCCCAGACTTTGACCCTTTTGCACAGAAGCAGAAAGGCCCCACCGCAGCAGCGTCCAAGGCCACCGGTGACCAGTCTGTGCCGTCTCAACAAGGGACCAACTCCAACCTCCTCAGTGATGAAACCTTTGACGACGCTGGGCTGGAGTCAGTCTTCAATGAGCAGACGTGTCGCAGGAAGATGAATGTGTCACGCTCAGGTAGATTTAAGGAGAAGAGGAGGGTGCGCACGAGCCTTCCTAGAGAGGAGAAAGAGACAGAGAACGTGGCCCCAGGGACAGAGGATAAACGGTGATGGTGAGGAGCAGGAGGTGATCAAAGACTGCCTTATGAAGATGCTTGAAGAAAAGGAGGAGTACATGAAGATGCTTCATTCCCTTGAGGCATACCAAGAGGTCTGCTGTATGTTGGTCATGATGGTGATGATGAAGATGACAAGGAGTGCAGGAATAAGGTCATGTGGTAGATGAAATGAAATGAACCATTTTGCTAACAATATCCCATAATCAAAGCCCCAAAGAAGAGATGCATTAGAGGTACAGTTCGCAATTAAGAGCCCAGTATAGTATAATATATTAATATACCATAGTGTTTCAGTCACAGACTATGTCATTGGACATTGGTCATTAAATTACCTACAACCTTTAAAGCACATTCCTTGAATGTTATTGTCCGTCAACACTCCAGATAATGTGTGATATGCTTCAGAAAAATATTGTCCATAAGATGTTTACATTATTTCTGTAATACAAATAATATATGTTCGATAATGAAGGATAGTATAATGCTCCTTTTACAAATGCTTTTACAAAAAATGTTGATTCTAAAGGGGTTAGAAGGATGTTTATGAAGGTGTAAAATTCATTATTATGTGTGACAAAAATCACTTAGCAGAAGCTTACAGTCAGATGCACAACACTTGCCAGCAAAATGCATAAAATACCTACCACTGTTTGTCACATAATGTGTCCAAAACAAAACTGACAGTGAAGTAAGAAGTTAATGTTGTGATATCCAACTGAATGAGAACGGCCATGTAGCTAATGAAGTATGATCCAGCCACTGATGTAGTTTGCTTTGCAGGGACTACTGTATTTTTGGACCCCCGTGAATATTTAAATGAAGGCAAACTATGAGAAATAAATCTGAAAACTGCTACAAGTGATTGTTTGAGTGTGTGTATGTGCATGTGTGCTTCATTATCCTAGTCAATCCAAGTCTAATGGCGCCAATCTAGACTGTGCAAGGATAATGTAAGAGTTGTCTGCCATGAGAAAAGTGTCTTGAAACAGACACGGATGCATACTAAAAAGAAAAAAACAAAAATTTTACAGTTCATAGATTGCATGAAAGTGTGCATCATAAGCTAAAACTGCAAAAGAGATGATGCACATGTCTTAGTAGTCTTCTTGAAAGCCATGTTGGTACCTGATAATCACATACCTGGAAGAGGTGGGGATAACAAGAGGACCTAATGTGTGATTATCGCAGTCTGAAAAAGACATTAACAAGGAATTAGTGCCATTTATATATAGTGTCTGCAGGCCTAAAAAACAATTCAAGGGAGGTGCAGCACTGCATTCCTTTGTCAGTGTTAGGGTTTGAGGTCCGTGTGTCTGCAGCAGTCATGTTTATGTAACAGGATCATGACTGATGCACTTTTTATAGCTATAAAATCACGTTGTGAATTTTAGATTGAATGCATTAATATCTAATTATCTCACATCAGCTCGTTAACTGAGACGCAATAAGTAGATTTTCTTTAAATGTAGAATGAGTAAGGGTGAGTTGTAATGACATATTTCTAACACGAGGGGGCGATTTTGCCACTCTACAGCCTAAAAATAGAGAATTGAATAAAACTTTAAAATAAATTCACCGGGTTAGACTTCTTCACCTCTCAGTCGGAACCAGTGCTCATGCATAGGCCTACCACTTTATTTTACTCGACAGGTGTAATTCAAGGTGAGGGAAAGTTTATTGGCATCTTCAGCATGTAAATCGAGGCGACGACACCGAGCCAAGTGCCCTGCATGCCTCTCTCTCTCTCTCTCTCTCTCTCTCTCTCTCTCCGTTGGTCCCGTGTGTAGAGCGCGGGGCGGTAAGGTGTGGCCTCACGCTGTTCGCCTTCTGCAGTGCGCTCACAAGGGAATAAACCGTAAACAGCCATAAAAAGACCACTGTCGCGTGTTTTCAGCGTCTGCTATGTGGGTACAAATATGAAGTGAAATAAAAAACTTTCTGGGATTTTTTTTTCAATCGCTTGCAGGAGACGAGACGTCGTATACGGGGTGTCCTCATTAAACTAAAAATAACGCCATGAGGAGCGCACTATGAGGTCAGTTTGCTGTGCCCCCCCTCACTGAAGTTGTCTCTGCGAACAGGTGGCTATTTCGTAAGAAGGTAAGACATTTTTTTTATGTGACAGGTGGTAATTCTTATTCCCACAAAACTGCGTGAAGAAACCTGTCAAAGTAAGAGACATGGACTCCAACAAGAACATGAGCTTATTACTCTTATTACCCAAAGGCATAGGGCATCAAGTGTACCTGGCTCTTAATGTCTAGGCGTTTCTGTTTCAGTGGGAAGGTATTCCAGGTGCATTTTTGTCCCTGCATTCTAAGGACAGTAGCCTAGTCTGTCTTTTTTTGTGGGATTCGCATGTAAACGTTTAACCAAGAAAAAATAGTCAAACAAATGTGAAGATGATTGTTCTAACAATTTGTTTGCTGTCCCACAGACCTGATGCTCTATATGCAAACAACTAAATTGTTTACAGTATTTTATCATAGGCTTATAGTGTTGACTCTTGAGGTCGTGAGGTCATGTAATTCCTCTCTTATAAAACTCCAATAACAGAACTCCAATTTATGTATTTGGGGCCTCAAACAGAAGAAATTTGTCATTTTCTGTAGTGGACTTCTGAAACATATCATCAGTTCAAAATCGTGTTTTAACAATTCTCATAAAATTAGGAAAAGGTGATTAAACATTGTTTAGGTTGTTCTTTGAGATGTTAGAGAGGGTCAGTGGTCTCACCCTCTCCCCTGATTCATACAACAGACAATTTCATATCCTCAAGTCAGTTAGGACAGCCTCAACTGGGGCTCCGTGGTCTCAATCTTTTTCTTTCACATGAAGCATGTAGAAGTCGCTTGTTAAGGCTGCAGCAGCTGCCCCTTCCAGCTGTGTGTGTGTGTCTTCAGGAAGAACAAGACATACTAAAGGTCAAAGGAAAACAACAACTGGTGTGAGAGGTGCATTTCCACTGAGTGTTCTTCTAGAGCTCAGCAAAACCAGTGTCCAGCTTTGCCCCCCTTTAAAAGACCTACACTAGCAGTGTCACAGAGGCAGCTTGACATAGATATGAAGATAGAAATAGCAACGCAGGACAGTCCGCCAGTTGCATAGATGGGAGGCATAAACTGTACACACACACATGGACAAAGACAAGAGAGACAGATACAACAAAACAGGTTCTGTTCTGTGTTTTATTAAATAGCTCAGGAGGAGCATGTGCAAATTCCACAGGGACCCGAATGTGCACAATGCGTGGGCTGTTTTCTGTCTCTCACAGCCATGGAAGAGAAGAATTTGTGATGTCAAGAAGTGACTGTTGCTGTGGATAATTTACTCGCTGAGTTGCCAACAACATAGAGATTGAAACATGGTGACATAATCTTGGACATGAGCTGTTCCTGAAGAGTTGGCCACTTGTGCTTATCACCAGTTACTCTTGATGACGGAACCAAGAGACATCCTGTGCATAGTTGCATGTTCAGTATAATCTGGAAAAAAAACGAAAAAGAACAATGTGTATGCACGCTGCAGCACTTTCCTGTGGAGTTTCCTCAATGTGTTTTCCATTCACTTACCGCAGTGAAGGCCTTCGGTTGTTGAGCGACTGAAGGGTAGAGGTCCATTACTTTTCACACAATATGCTCCATTGTTCCTGTCTGAGTCCTGCCACAGGGCATTGTGGGAAGAAGAGGAGGACAGGGGTGGTGTGTGGGGGATGTGTCCGATTTCTCTGGAGAGGATGGAGCGCTCGCTGTTTCCTGTTTTGCGCTGGTGGAAGCGCTTCCTATTCAGGGAAGATGGTAGGAGGTCATCAAATAAATGTTCGCCTTAATGCAGTAGCAGCTTCTGACATTGGGGGGAGAAATCCTCGAAGCTCGTCAATGGCTGCAGTGCATGAAAATGATGGCAACTGTTTCTGGTATATTTAGGTATATCTGAGGCCTCAACATGCCAGCCCCACCTCCTCCCCCTCCGCCTCCCCTGGCTCCCCCTCCTCCACCACCACCGCCCAGCGCTGCCCTGCCACAGGTAAGACTGTGTGTGACTCTAACTCTCTCTCTCATGCAATTGTAAAAGCTTACTCGGATCCTTCTCACTGACCATCAACCATCGCTTGGAGGTTATTTTGCATTATTGATTGAGGTAATACATACACACACACACACACACATACACACACACACACATACATACACACACAAACACACATACACACACACACAAAGAGTAGGGCAGACAGCAGACTCTCAGTAGCAGAAGAGTGTTATGTTTCCACAGCAGGCGCACAGTGTCCTCATGTTAAATGAGTTGCCACTGCCAACGTAACTGCTGTCAACATAACTAACAATGATCCTTTCCCTTCGTACATCTCTTCTTCTTCTCTCACTTTGAATGTCATCCTCTTCTTCCTCACTTAACCTTTCAATTTACAATCATATAAAACAAAATGCACCAAATGGACCCTGCAAATGTTTGTTCTATAAAAGCCATAAATTATTAATTGATTATCAAAATAGTCTGGGATGAATTTTTAGCCAGTTGACTAATTAACACTAACAAAGCTGTGCTCTGTAAAAGATCTTTTTTCTCTGTGTGACAGTGTCCGTCAGAGCCTCCTAAGCTCCAGTCTGGTGGAGGAGGGGGTGGAAGGAATGCCCTGTTGGCCGACATCCAGAAGGGAGCCAGGCTCAGGAAAGTCACACAGGTCAATGACCGTAGTGCCCCTGCCGTCGATAGTAAGAGCAACATCCTTATCATGCTACCGATATGCTTGCGGCTGTCTGTCTTAAGACACCAAATGGTACTCATGTGCATCTACTGTCACTGTAATTCTCATAGTGGAGCTTAGAGGAAGGAAGTTTAATTGTGTTTATTTGTATGTCGAGATGCCGTAGTGAGATGTAGGGTACAAAGAGAGCAGGGAAAAACAGGAGGTAGTATTTGTTGTGTCGTTCAATGGTAGTATGTTGTTTCTCCTTGAGCTACATTTAAGAATAGACACACACACACACACACACACACACACACACACACACACACACACACACACACACACACACACACACACACCAAGTGCACACTTCAGGAAGGAATGCCCTATACAGATATGGATGCATTCAGAAACTACTATACAAGGGCAAACACAAGACTTTGTATGCTCGGTATACCATAAGATTGACAAAAAAGACTGGAAGGTTCTATGGTATATTTACTTTTTTTTACTTTATTAACTGATGTTTATGTATACTTTTTTCTTGTATGTATAGTATTTAAAAATCACTTTGAAACATTTAATACTCGTTTGCCATTATGGTAAACAGCTCTGTTGCACGAGTTTCCCTGCAGTTTCTCAAACAGAAAGCCATCTCTTTGACAAAAACACAACCTCATAAAGCAAACAGAGTCAACTCAATAATCTCTATACATACTGCATGAGGAAATGTTAGAGTTGAAATGTGGATGTCACCGCATTATATAATGCTTTAACAAAATGTTAATTCAGTTAGTCAAGGAATTAGCTTACTTAGCATTGTCAGTTACATGTATGTAACCAGACCAGTTGAAAACAGTCCGCTGTCTTTTGTGCCAAGGTATGTAATTGAATCAAATGATGAATATACTCATGTTCCTTCCTGAATGATTGCTCTCAGCTTCTTTATGTTGTCTTTTCAGAATTAAGTGCAATATTCCCATGACTATAAACCCTACTGAGCACATAAAAGACTATATGTGTTAACTCATTTGTCACTGAATATGTGATAATGGTAAAAAACCCGACCAAAACCTGATTGTGAAATTTTGATTAAAGCTAGGATAGACAATTTAGCATATTCAAGTTCTCTTTACACCCCAACAGCACTCAATCAAATCAAATGCTCTGACACACACAAAAATCTGTGGCTGTCAAATGACTATAATAAGCTGGCTTACCTGCCCGTCTGGATACCTACTTGCCTACTTGCTACTTTCAAAATCTAGTTGTCTCTTGCTGGTTTCTCCAACGTTGCCTACATCAGCTACACCAAATGTACATTGACGCCATTGTTCTTATTCATTTTCTTAATCATTTGTAATATATGTGTGTTGCTCCCCAGAGCCCAAGGCGGCTAGCACTGGAGATATAGCCAGCAGTGTTGCTGCTTCTCAAGGTTCATCAGGTGGAATGGCACCCATGGGACCCTCTTTGGGGGGGCTCTTTGCTGCAGGATTCCCCACTCTCAGGCCTATAGGACAAAGAGACATAGCAGGCAAGAACCCAGGTTGGTGAGAAATGTCTTGTTCTGAATCTTGTATTTTGTGGTCTTCTCTGAACATTTTCACATCCAAATGACTCCTCTTGTACGTGTATTTTGTTTGTTAAAGTGTCGCGATCGAGCTCATCAGTCTCCATGAAGCCTCTGTGGAACCCCCCCACACCAGCAGACACAAGCAGCGTCTCTGAGCTTCACAGGACGGCGGAGCTCCGAGGCTCCGTCCACCGTCTGCTCGCTCCTTCGTCCTCAGCTCCTCCCTCCCCCTCTCACAGCAGCAAGCACCCGCCTCCTTTCCCCAATTCCTCTCCCCCTCCACCTCCACCTGCACCACCCTCTGCTCCTCCCCCACCTCCCCCACCTCAAGCCATCCAGGACAGACTGGCCAACAAGCCTCCGCCTCTCCCCTCCTGCCCTCCTCCCCCACCTCCAGCCCAAGTCACCAAGCCCACCTGGCTCCCCATCCAGCACTCCCACCACGCCACCATCTCCCAGCCCTCTACTCCTCCTCCTCCTCCTCCTCCTCCTCCTCCTCCACCTTTCCAACCTCCTTCTGCTGTTCCAGGGGATCGCTCCTCAGGTTGTTTCTACTCGCCGTCCCCCTCCTCAGTCCACTCTGAACCTTCTAGATTCTCTATCTTGCGGGACAGCCCACTGGGACCTCCTCCACCACCTCCTCCTCCTCTCCCAGCTTCTGTCACCCCCAGCTGCCCATCCACCCTCCCCCCTCCACTACCCAAGATGGCTCCAGTGCCCTCCCCAGCCATGCGCTCTCTGCCTCCCTCATATCCCTGCAACGCTCCCACCCGACGGCCACCTGCTGTGCCCAGGAGTGCAGGTATGGACCGAGGAAATGTCTTTTTTCTAACCAATGACTTTTCAGTTAATGACAAACGGAGCGCTGCTGCGAGGTTGACCAAAAAAGAACCTACTGTCATATTTTTTTGGGAGTTAGCTTTCCAAGGCAGTAGTTTTATGAGGTGTTTTTCACTCATGTTGAAACACAATGTGCAGCCATAAGCATCGCTAGTGAAATGGCGCCAACCTATGAAACTGATGATGAAGATGTAAAAAGGCACAAGAGAACATATTATTCGAGAACACATAACTTACAAGAGAAATCCATTTCACAGCAATATTTGTTTTCCATTTAATTTACAAGTTAGACTCAGGAAGGCAGCCTAAAGCAGGGCAGGATAGAGAAGTGAGCTTGTGACCGGAAGGATGTAGGTTCAATCCCGCAGGCCAGAGAATAAATCTGGGTTGGGAAAGTGAAAAGCACCGCTTGCCCCTCCCTCATTACCACCCCTGAGTTGTCCTTAATCCCAACTGCTCTAGCAAAACTGCTCAGTAGCCAGAAGATCAGACTGTGTTGGACTGGACAGCTTCCAGGTGTGAATGTGTAACTGTATGAATGTGATCAGCGCGTTTCTGAAAAAGATTGCATTGCTATTGCTTTATCTATCTAATTAAAGGTGGAAGAAAAACATTACTTCCCAACCTGAGGTTTTTGGGAACCCTATAAGGGGGTCATACATTGAATCTGAAGGGAGGGAAGATGATCACAAAATTGTAACATTTTGGCTTTTATCTAATCTTTGCTTTGTTCTGTGAAATACTGTTTTCTGACGTTTGAGTCATGTCTGTAAAAATTTGTCAAATAAGTAAATTCAAATAAAGATCATCACCATGTTTATGGGGGAGGGTGTGTGTGTGAAAGTGTGTCTCAGTTGTCATAGAAATTGTAGATTGTAGATGTTATATTGCTAACCCCTTTGACTCCTCTGCTCTTGTCACCCATGGTAACAGGTGTGGGTCGGCTGGCCCCTCCTCCAGCTCCTCCGGCACGTTCTCCCAGCACCGAGCTGTCCAGCCGCATTCCTCCCCCTCCACCACCACCTCCCCTGCCTCCATCAAGTCTCAGAAATGGACACCTGCACAGCCTCGGTGAGACGATGTGTATCTTACAATACACATGAATATATTTAACGCTATTAGTGGATTTTATAATAGCGGAGTGACTTGAAATAAGAGCAGCAGAACAATATGTTACATTTACTTTTATTACATTTTATTTCAAATAGTTCTTACCTCTTATCTTTTTTTAATATTTTCACAGTTTTTAGTGACTCGCAGCAGTTTTATTTAACTTGTCTGATGTATTTCTTTATATCTGCTTTTATTTCATGGTATTTATATTGTTTCTTGTCATTCAAGTTTCATTTAATTTAGAATAGGGGAGCTGTAATTAACTATAATTGTATAGATGAAAAATGTGAACTGTACTGACAGTTCTGTAGAGGGAAAAAGACAGAGAAGTGTTGTCATTTAGGGGTGAGAAGGTGACATGAGTTTATTTTTGAAGAAGCAGATTTGGGCAAGAACTTGAGTCATGTATGTGAAAATGAAGAGAAAATGGTAGCCTTGAATTGCATTATTACTGTACATCTACTACCGGCAGATGATTTTGAATCCAAGTTCCAGTTCCACCCTGTTGAAGACTTACCCCCTCCCGATGAATTCAAGCCTTTTCCTCGGATCTACCCCAGCAAAGAAAACAGAGGTAGCAGCACAGAGCACTTGTTTTTTCTCATCTTTATCCGTGCCTTCAATATCATCTATTGAGTTGACCCCGCCCCTATACCCACACTGATTTCCTTTCTCTTACAGTGAACCCCAAAACACCTGGGTTAAGGACACACCTCAGATGAGTCAAGGCTTCACCATGTCCTTTACCCTTTCCCACACACACACATACACATATCAGGAAGTTGCACACAATCCTCCTTTTTTTTCTCATGACAGCTCATGACAATAACACAACTGCCATGGACTTATTTGGATGCAGGCTCTGTGTGTGTGTGTTTGTGTTTGTGTTTGTGTTTGTGTTTAGTGTATTTGTGTGTATGTGTGTGTGTTTGTATGAGTGGCAAACAGGGTCCCGCCTTATACTGACTATGTGACCTCTGACCCTTTTCAGTGTGGAATGTTTTGAATGTGTGTGAGGAGGAGGGCTCTCCCTACTCATGCTCGTACACACATACCCTCCATGGACAGCGTCTTCCAGTAGCTATATTTAACATGAATCATATCACAGTCTGTAAGCATTTCAGTATCTACATACAAAATAGTATTTTGGTTTCATCTCTGAGAATTTTGTCACAATCTGTCCCTTTATGCAGTAGCACTTTTAGTGTCAAGTCTACAGTTAACCCAGACACAGGTCAGCAAAGCTTTGTTAAAGACAGACATATGCACACTGTGGTCCAGCAATAACTACATCTTGAGCACATGCTCCAACAATGTTCTCCCTAAACACCTACAAAAATGTTATAGCAAGACAATCCTCTCAAGATGTCATGTTTTTTCCTTTTTTTTGGGAATTCAATGACCCACAGTATATTGCCTCTGTTAGCAGGAGACTATGTTGTTTGGCTAAGGAAACCTCATCTTAAACTCAATGTGAAAAAAAACTACCACTGCAGGATATGCTAAGCTTGGGGGTTCACAAATCCTTGTACATATCGTCGTGCTCTTGTGTTTTTTAGTAATTGTTTTTATAAGTAACAAATCTATAAACATGTAGAAGAACCATTTTTACCGATATAGGAGTGCATCTGTTTTAAGTTACACTGTTACTGTCTGTTAATAATAATGAATGAGGAATACTGTTTACTTTCTCCCACTGTATTAACTGACACTAACACCTGTGAAGACAGTGCCACCTGCTGGTTCAATGTGTAAAGTATCACAAGGTGTGACCACCAAATAAACCACAGTATTTTGTTTAAAAAGTTGACAGTCACTTTATTGATCACATTAAGACTAATATTAAAACCGGCTTCTCAACAGAACACAGAAATCATTTGGTAATTGAGTGTAGTCTTGATGTGTTTGCTTAAAAGAAGAATATCAAAGCTACAGAAACAGGAGAGTCTAGATTTAAGACTTATGTGTGCGCAATATCTTAAAACAGCCTCCAGCACATATAACAGGTAAATTTCCCCTTTTTTTCTATGTATGGTATATCTTGCAGAACAAGTTTGTCATTATTATACAAATGTGAATATCTAAAATGAAAGAAAGCCAGTTTTAAACTCCATGTAAGGATTGCTGTTGTTTCATGTACATTCGAGAAATCAGAATGAAGCTGCACTTAATGTTGCAGGGCTCAACAATAAATCCAGTCAGCATGGATATTGCAGCATATGCACGTGCAATGCACCTGTCTCTCAGTTATTTTGACTTGCCAAACAGGTGTCTCTAATAACAACAATGGCTGGATTACATCAGGGTGTGCCAGTGCCACGGAGTGTTGTGTATGCTGGTTCACTGAGAGCACTTGTCTCTGATGCCATATAAAAATACCCATTTTACTGCTTAAAAGAAAATGAAAAATACCAACGTTCACATTATCTTAAACACACACCATGTAGTCAATATGATAAGGCAGTTTGGTTACACGTTCTGAACACTCACTGCAGACTACAGTTACCATACAGGTAAACCATACCATACAGTACAAGTTATGATTTTCTTTTCAAGGGGGGGGGGGGTCAGAGCCATAAGATCCGGCTCCCTTCAAAAAGCCCAATTCCCATCCCTACTACAAAAGGTAACTGCATAAGGAAACAAACACATTAAGGGAAATTTCACTGCCAAATTTAGTAACAGACATCAAACATTCACAGATTTTCTTTTACCACAGATATTCTGTGACAGAAAACTGCACACAAGGAAATGATACAGTCTTTTGAATATTTTTATATGCAGAATGACATTGAGTCATTTTACCCTGGTCTAATTTTCTTAAATGCAAATGTGCGACTGGAGGTTTTCGAGGTTCTTGTACAAATAATCAGATTAAAAACCCCATTGGCTCAAATCCACCACACAAATCTTCACACAGGAAGAGTTTACATGTCACACTCCACACAACCACAATGCTATCTGTAAAACTGAAATACTTTCAGGTAACCTGAGAGACTCTGCAATAATAAACTCTGCACCAAAAGTATTTCAACCATGAACTTATAAAAAGACTGGAAGACTGCATGAGTGAGTGTCGTGGCCCAGAAGAGACTTTAAAGTTCATCATGTTTGTAAGTGAACTCTCTGGAGGAAATGAAGCCATCTTTGTTCTCATCTTCTTTGACAAAGATGTCCTCCACCATGTTCTCATGTAGAGTGTCGTTGGGAGGGTAGCCGTGACGCTCAAACTCTTTCCTCAGGTATTCCTTCACCTGGTAGATGGGGTCAGAGTGAGACAGAATGAGGAAAAATATGACTGAAGTGACAATATATTTATAATAAAATATAATGAAAAGAGAAGATAGACAAATAAAACAATTTCCAGTTTCATCTTTTCAATTAAGGATAAATCTAAAACCAGATGATTATTTGAGAAGTTATTGTATGCACAATGTGTTCAACTTCCACATTAAAAATAATCCAAATATTCTACAAAACAGAGGATATTCCTTTGTCAAACATGTAATTTCAATGTTTAATTTCAAGTTACAGGTTGATCCAAATTACAGTGTAAATTAATTAATTAACTACATTGTACCTTTACTGTAAAACAATATAACAATATATACAATTCTACAGAAATTGCTACCAACCATAGCTACCTACTTGAACCCTTGGCTACTCAAAGTGCCAACATATATTTGTCCACATACAATTTACAAACACTGTGATTATAGTGTTTGTAGGCTAATATTAAAAAGCGTACATGCAACTTGCTCTTGTACATATTTTCTAATTTCTTGACACCTGATAAATCTTGCAATTTGACTGTTGTGAACTGATTTTTGAGTATTCTGATTGGCCTTGATGGTCTGTTTCAACTCTAACTACATAATAGCAATTATGTTGGGAAGGGGGACCTATACAGTATATCAGGTATTTTACAGAAATATTTCTGCCTTTTTTCATACTGAGACACCATCGTCATTGAACTTTGTTAACTTTTTCCAGTAGGTAGAGACCTTTAAAGAATTATTCCCTTAGAGAAAAGGTTGGCTAACACAAGCAACGCAATCCTTCACCTCATGCTTGGAGAGCTTCCAGTCATCGTTGAGGTCCATCTCCTGGAAGGACTCGTGTGACCTCGGTCCATTTCTGATCTCAAGCACCTCGATGACGAAGGTCAGTGTGCTCTCAGGTGGGATCTTACCTGACCGTGGACATCATCACAGTATAAGAGGTCAACTAAAACTCAGACTGGTTGTCACTTGGTTGTCACTTGTTTCTGTAAGCATGCTCATTGTATGTAGACAACAGTTGGTTTGGGTGGTGCGTCAGAAATTATGTGAGTGAATGCAGCAACACATTTCAGAGTTAAATCGTGAGTAAATAAGTTGAAAACATGTTGTATGTGTTATAAGAAGCAAACTTAGGTTGCATTATTAGTCATATCAAGTGATTCAGATTGCTGTTGTCGTGACAAAGGTTAGTTAGGCACAGAAGAGATGTTATTGGTTAGTGGTTTCTACTTACCAGTACAAAGCATAGTATTGGTCACATGCTCCATTATGAGAAAAAGTGGACTAATAATCCTGAATGAAACCTTCATTCAGTTTGGGAGTTCTAGAAAGCCATTCAAAACAAGACACATATTTATAATAACAATGTCTAACACCTCAAGACAGTGCCATGTATCTGTATAGCAGCATGCAGTGAAGCTTGTGTATATATGGATACATTCAGTACCTCTCCCTTCCTTCCCATAGGCCAGGGCTGGAGGTATTACGAGTTTCCTCTTCTCTCCAGAGCACATATCCTGCAGGCCTTTATCCCAGCCTTTGATCACTTCTCTGATGCCCAGTGTAAACCACACTGCCTGCTTGTCACCATGGATTCGACTGGTAGACAGACACCAACATAAAAGTGGAGACTGTTACAGGTCTGAAAAGGGAAGAACTGTGAGAAGGTCTGGCAGACCCCCTATTAAAGACAATAACGTGTAATTACAGTGAAAATCTGAGTTAACACTGCTTTGCTACTGGGCTAAGCCTGGCTATAATTTCAAAACACTGCAATACAAATAACATGTAATTATTATTTTTAATCATTTTAGTGCCAAACATTGTTTAAAATTAAATGTTGTCTAGGCTCAAATAGGTGCCTTATGTATCATCAGACACTTCTTTTTGTGAGTATTATTATTATTATTATAGGTCAATGAGTACTGAGATTAATTGCTGTCTGAGTGGAGAAAGGGACAAAGTGAGAAGAATTCTTACTGAAGATTCTCTCACATTACTGATGGTAAATCTAAGAAATTAAAGGGTTGGTTCACCCACATGACAAAAACACATTTTCTCACTGCAATCACAAAAAACAATCCATGTTTCCTCACATGCCCCTTGTCTGCCCCATCCCATGCTGAGGTTTAGAGATGTATTTTGGAGATCTGCTGCCAGTGTTTTGTTTGTGGTGCTTAAAGAGTAAGCCTACCATAAAGAGTTAAAGAGATTTTGATTCTTCCATTGTCCATGTTGAGTGACCCTTTAATTCCTTTCAACTGTTTTATCACGTGACACAATAAACATAAGGAACCTTACCATGCGCGCACTGCATAGACTGCCGAGTATAAAAGGCACTTACATGAACACCAAAATAAAATGCTGTAATATTTTACTGCGATTGTTTAATTATATCGAGCACTTTTCGAATGTAAGCTGTTTATAAAACTGAAGAAGAGTGAATACAGCAAATTGCTTCCACTACAGGTAGCCTATTGAAACGATATCTTCTGTTATCAGCTGTAACGTTACAGGAACCAACAGGAGTAATGTTGAATGCTTCTTCACTCCTTACTTGACACTCATATCACGACTAAGACTGTTAGGCCACTGAGTCAGCCATGAACATACCTGGAGTGAAACATGGTTCCATTCTCAAAATATCCGTCATGATGCACCAGCAGAATGTCTCCATACTTTGATTTTCGGTGACACAGAAAAGGTCTGTGCAGAACTTCTATGTTCACCTCAGCTTCAGGCAGCTTTCCCCCGCTGACATAAGCCAGCAGGGAGGAGCACAGCCCGCTCAGCAAAGTCAGCAGCATGCTGCCACACTCAGCCTTCTCCAGACAACGCAGAATAAACAGATTGCTATGATGGTTTGTCAAATGTTGAAAACCAGCAGCAAGTCGTGCAGCTGGCCTGGTCCTCTACGTGGCAGTTTCATCATACGTGTTGTTGCGGGAAGTCCTCTTCTGATTGGCTGCTTTTCCTAAAAAAAATCCCTCCCCCTCTCATAGAGATCCTGGCATCAACTTAAGGGGAGTCTGAAGTGTAGGCCTAATCTTTATTAATATACAGTGTTTAAGGAAATTTACAGTCATGCAGGCAGATTATCCACTAATCACATTTTACTGAATTCATTTTGATGTAACTGAGAAATTTCTTCATGCTGTGTGATAATCAAAGATATTTTTCTAGCTGTTGTTGCAGTATGACATTCATTTTCCTCCTGTCGGGTATTCTGGACATTCACTTCAAGACAAGCTACACTTTGGCTCATACATTTACAGCACTGGTTAAAGCAGTCTGCTGTGTGCTGGTATAGATTTACATGCACTATCACACCATTGCACTTCATCAATACACGTTATGTAATACATTGCACAGGAATAAACACATATACACACCCCTGATTTGCATACTACAGTACATATAGTATCAATAATATCATTGCCTCTTTTGGAAAAGGTTTTTTTTCTCTCTCATTACAAAAGAGGTTCAGAACATAGCTTATTTCTGCGTCAGCAAGTCATAGGCTACACATTCTAACTATTTTCATATGATACAATCAATAAATCATTAAAATGTTCCCCATAATCACCAGTGTCCACAACAGTGCTACAGCCATTGGACTGACAGTAACAGAGAACTGCTCCGTGAGGCCAATAAAATAATTAAACCCCCCATTGTCGATTCAAAGCTGACTCCCATGACCTTTCATGGCTCAGAGCAAGCACAACAGCTTCCTTTAGTACCCCCTCTCTCTCTCAGTCCATCAGTTATTTTTTAAGGGGTGAGACTTCAATAGAATCTGAAGTGTAATCCCTGT